AAAAAAAAGAATTGCCCATACTATCAGGCATAATAAAATTGAGCAAAATTGAGCAGTACAGAACAAAACCAGTAACGGAGACAGTATGGGACTTCAAAAGAGTATATATTATATATTTTGCTAATCCTCTTCCCTTCCCCTTGTCTAATCGTAGCCTACCTTCTAATTTCCTGTCAGTTTTTTTAAACCACATGTTTGCAGTGTAAAGTGATGACATCTATCTTAGGAAGTTGGTAAATGTATTTTTTCTTTTTCTTTCTTTTTTTTTTTTTTTTAATACTGGGGATTGAACTCACAACCTCACGTTTGCCAAGCAGGCATTTGTACTGTTGAGCTAAACCCCCGGCCCTGAGTTGGTCAATGTAAATAACACATCATAAGTTTTTTCATTCCCTACCCATCCAGCCCCTCCCTGCTCTTTCCAATGCTTGGTCTCTTGGTCCTCTTCTCATTTCCAAACCTCATTTCTGCTTTTTTCCCTTCCCCTTCAGTGTTTTTCTCCATCCCTTTTCTTTTCTTCTCTCCTCCTTTCCTCTATCTCTTGTTCCCTTTCCTATTGGAAAAGATCTCCCAGTTTTCTGCTGCTGTTTCTTTGGGTATTTTTTTCCCCCAAAGCAGTCATTGTGGAATCTGCATTTTTTTCACATTAGATTTATTAGTACATTTTAGGTATACATAACAATCACATTCATTATAATTTGTATCTTCACATGATTTTGCTCTTTATTTATTACATGATTTTGGGTTTCTCATATAAGGAAAACCATATAGTGATTGAGCTGATGTGTCTGATTTATTTTGTTTAACATTATGGTCTCAGGGTGCATCCATTTTCCTATGAATACCTCAAACTTATTGTACTTTTTAGAAAAGTAGTACTCCATTGTGTATGACTGTCACACTTTATTTGCCCATTCATCTGTTGATGGGCACACAGGCCATTTCTGAGACTTAGCTGTATAAATTGTACCACTATAAACATGAGTATGCATGTATCACACATGTGATACAATATGATGACTTGAACTCTTTTGGGAGAACACCTAGAAGGTGAGTATCTGGGTCAAATTAAATTTAGTTTTTGAAGCATCTCATACTAATGTCTATAGTGGTTCTATCATTTTGTACTCCTACCAATAATGTAGAAGGGTTCCTTTTCCCCCTGCAGCCTCACCAACATTTGTTATTATTTGATTTCTTGATAACTGTTCTTTTTGGAGGAAGATGATATTTCAATTTTGTTTTAATTTGCATTTCTCTAATGGCCAACAGTGTTGAACTTTTTTTGTGTACTTAACCATTTTGTACTTCTGAGAAAGGTTTATTCATTTTTGTTACCCATTTTTGATTATCTTTTATTTTGGGGGGAGGTTTAATTCTTTTGAATTCTTTGTATATTCTAGATGTTAGTCTTCTGTCTGAGGAATAGATGGTAAAAGTTTTCTTCCTGTTCTGTAGGTTTCTTGTTACTCTGTTGGTTGTTTCCTTTGCTATGCAGAAGTGTTTAAATTTTATATAATCCCATTGGTATTATTTCTTATGTCGTTGGGGTTCTGTTCCGAAAGTCCTTGTCTGTGCTTATATCTTCAAGAGTTTTGCCGAGGATTTAGCTCAGTGGCATAAGCTCTTGCCTTGTAAACGTGAGGTCATGAGTTTGATCCCTGGTACTCCCCGCAAAAAAAAAAAAAATTTCCCTGTTTACAGGGATCCCTGGAAGAGTCCAGCAGAGTATTTCTGTTTTTAACATTTAGATCTCTGATTCATTTTGATTTTAGTGTAGTACATGGTGAGATATTTGGGATGTAGACTCATGTTCTACATACAGATATCCAGTTTTCTCAGCACAGTTTATTAAAGAGGCTGTCTTTCTCCAGTGTACATTTTTGATCCCTTTTTCAAAGACCAACTAGCTGAAGGTCCTTGGAGTTTCTGTTTCTTCCTAAATTCTCTTTCATTGATCTGCATGTTTCTGTGCTGGGACTGTGCTGTTTTTATCACTGCAGCTGTGTAATACAGCTTCAGATCTGGGATTGTGGTGCCACTTGCTTTGCTTTTTATTACCCAGGGTTGCTTTTACCATTCTGGGTCTCTTCTGGTTCCATATAAATTTTAGGAATGTTTCCTAGATCTAGATCTGTGAAGAATGCTGCTGGTGTTTTATTTAGGATTGTGTAAATCTATACACAGTTTTGGAAGCCATTTTATACTATACTGGTTCTGCCTATAGAGGAGGATGGATATCTTTCATTTTTCTGATGTCCTCTTTGATCTCCTTTTTCATAATGATATAATTTCACTGATATAACTTCTGTGGTTAGGTATTTAATTCATAAGTATTTAATTTTCCTTGATGCTATTATTAATGGTATTGCTTTCCTAACTTCTTAGTGAATTCATTATTAGTATGTAGGAACACTATTGATATTTGTGTATTGATTTTGTATCTTGCTACATTGCTGGGTTTGGTTTTTGTCGGAGTCTTCTGGTGGAGTTTGTTGGGTCTTATAAGTAAAGTATCATCTCATTTGCAAATAATAAACTTTGACTTTGTTCTTTTCCATATATATATATATCCCTTTTCTTTCTTTCTTTGCCCGATTGCTGTAGCTAGTGTTTTGAGGAATATGTTGAACAGGAGTGATGATAGTGGACATCTTTGTCTTGTTCTTACTGTTCAAAAGAAAACTTTTAGTTTTTCTCCATTTAATGTGATGTTGGCTGTTGGTTTATCATAGATGGCTTTTATCAGAAATAAAATCCTGTAAGATCTGAGGGTTGAGATAAGATACTTCTATTCCAGTTATTTTCACGATTTTTATTACAGATGGAAGTTGGATTTTGTCAAAGGCCTTTTCTGCATCTATTGAGGTGTGGTTTTTTTTGTTAGACAAGGTCTTGCTAGGTAGTTCAAGTTGTCCTTGAACTCACTGTGTAGCCTAGGCTGGCCTTGCACACTCTGTGACCCTCCTGCATTAGCCTCCTGACTGCTGGGATTGCAGCCATATGCCACCACACCCAGCTTGCATCTATTGAGATGTGGCCATGTGATTTTTGTCTTTCTGTTTATCTGGTGGATTACATTGATTGACTTGTGAATGTTGAACCATCTTTGCATCCCTGGAATAAATCCTCCTTGCTCATGGTATATGATCTTTTTGATTTGTTGCATTCTATTTGCCAATGTCATGTTGAAGATTTTTGTGTCTATGTTCATTAGACTAGTCTGTAGTTCTGTTTTTTGGTTGGATCCCTATCTGATTTTGGAACCAGATAATGCTAGTTTCCAAGAATGACTTTGGGAGTACTCTTTTCCTTTTGATTTATTAAAGAGTTTGAGGAATATTGATGTTAGATATTTCCTGATTATAGAGTTTAGCAGTGAATTTGTCAGAAATTGGGTTTATCTTAGATTTTTTTTTATTACTGCTTCAGTTTCATTGCCTGTTATTGGATTATTCAGGATGAATAGATAAAGAAAATGGGGCACATATAAACAGTGAAGTATTATTAGACCATGAAGAACAAAGCTGCCATTTGCAGGAGAAGGGGATGGAAGTGGAAATCATGATGCTAAGTGAAATAAGCCAGAATCAGATAGACGAGGATCCCTAACACACAAAACCTGAAAAGCTTCCAGTGTTGGAATTGTCCATTGTTACGCTTGCTGGCTTATGTCTTCTGTAACTTTAATTATTTTTCTTGATTTGACATGAAATAAGAGCAAAGTTAGTATCACCCACTATGGTGTTTTTTTCTACATGTTGTTCCCTTAGCAAGTGTTGATGTCCTGTTACACTGTGTATATAATCTTCCTGTTGAAAGTGAGAGTTTATTTACAATGCTAGGAGCATGTCTTTCTTGATGGTAAGGGACTGAGTGTTCTTTACTGCTGTGCTCTCACATCCCCTTATAATTTTGTGTACAGTGTTTGTGGTCGAGCAGAAAGTATAAAGATGCTCTTTTAACTCAGACTTCTGATAAACTCTCCTGCTTGCCCTACTCTAAACCTTGAATGGCAGTTTTGCAGAGTAGGGCCAGGGTGAGAAAGTGTAAAGTGGCTGGAATAGATCAGTGGTGGCCTTAGAGTCAAACTGGTGATAATACAAGAGAGAAGAGTGGGATGGTAAGAGAGGGGAGGAGGGGATGGATTATGACCAAAATATAGGCATTATGGAAACAAAAATAGTTAAAAAATCCAAAGAGAGGAGAATGTAGTAAAATAGCCAGGCAGGGAGGTGGTCTGAAAAGGTGACACTGAGCTGAGAAATAGAAGATAAGGTTTCCCTGGTTGCTAATTTTTTTAAAATGTCATTTCCATGTATTATGATAAATGTTTGAAGTTTGAATGAGAAGTTAGTTTTTTCAAACTGACGTATTTGATTCAATGCTGCAGAAACTTTCCTTTTCCTTAGTGTTAGAATTATTAAGCAGAAATGGTAAAATTACAATAGGTGATTGACCCTGAAATACCATTTAGCATGTTCACACTATTGAATTTGAATTTTTTTCTTTTTTTTTTTTCTTTTTTTTGTGGGGCTGGGTATTGAACTCACGATTTTGCATTCACCAGGCAGGCGCTTATTTCACTGAGCTAAATCTCCAGCCCCTGAATTTGAATTTTGTCCCAACCTTCTTTTTGTCCTTCAGACCTTGCCTTGTGTTTCCTTTGTCTGAGGCATTTTCCTGGGCCTTTTGCACTGTTGGTGTTTCTTATCCTTTGGTCAGTGTCATCTCTTCAGACAGCCTCCCCTGCTGAGTTGCTTGGTTATATTTTCCTTTTATTTCCTTTATAAAACTCATCAAAATCCAAAGCAGTCTATTTTAATTCACCTACTTTTTGGAAGCACTGTGTAGAAATATAAAAGGGTGTTGCTTTAATGGTCTTGCTTACGACTTTATCAGTAGTGCCAAAATACAGTGTATAGCATGAGTTGATTATGTACAGGTGAATGAATGAAAAACCGAACTTAACTGACGTAGTGCCTCTTCGTTTTGTACAGTAGATCTTCCTCTGATTGACAGCCTAATTCGGGTGTTAGAAAATGTGGAACATTGTCAGAAGAAACCAGAAAACTCAACAGAATCTAACACAGAAGAAACTCAAAAGCCTGATTTAACCCAAGATGACTTCCACTTGAAAATCTTAAAGGATATTTCTTGTGAATTTCTTTCTAATATTTTGCAGGCATTGACAAAGGTAGGAAAGAAGTATTGGCGGTTTCTTTAGCAGAAGGAAGCATGGTTGCTTAATACTCTAAACTTCATTATTGTTACCTTTTTTGTGCATATTCAGCAAGCAAACTACATCCCTAGCCCTTCTATTATGTTTTGAATATATTAGTTTGAGAAAATAAAAAAATTTTATCATCAATTTGTAATCTTAAAATAGCAACTAACATATTTAGCATGTTTATATATGCATTTTTATACACTTGTAATCTAGTTTACATTATGTGGTTTTCAAAGAATTTTATAAGGTATGCTATATTTAATACTCAAAGTACTTTTCTTTACTCTAGATGAATTCACTGAAAGCCAGATAATCAGTTTTCAAAATTTATGACACAATTTGTCTAAAGAATATTCTTTCTGAATGTGTTCAGTGATTATATGTTCTGAGTATTAGCATAGTCTTCCTTTGAACATACTGGTTCCATTCAGATACCTAGAAAAATATACTTGTGAACATAACTATGATGACTATATTCATACTCATTGATTTTTCTTAAAGAAGGATATTTCTCTTAGAAAGTCTTTCTGCGTGGGTTTGGATTTATGGCAGACCTATCCCTGTGGGCCTCTCATAGTGTCCCATGCGAGAGCAAACTGTGACCCCAAACCATTGCCTGGCCTCTGTCCATGGGCTACTGGCACTGAGGCGGGTTACACAGCAGAAATGTTAAAAATAAATATAAATATAATTTGGAAAAAAGTTTTTATTTTGCTGACTTGAGTTTTTTGGTTAGTTCCACATGTGTATTTTCCAGATTTGGGTCATCACTTTAGCAAGCATTTTGGAAGTTAGAATACAACTTTGACATTGTAGATGTGAAGGTGACTGACGCATGCGGGCTGCACAGTGCCAAAGTGCTATTGACATGCAAAAGTACTCGTCCTTTAGTTTGTATTATTTCTACAGCTGATAAATTGTGCGTTATTTTGATTTGCATTTTAGGAAATATAGCAGAAGGTGGGCTGAGAATAAGCCAGGGGTATACCATGACAATTCTTGCTTGTCATAGTTAGGGAGTTTGGGTTTAATCTTGAGGAAACTGAGAAACTAGTGTCTTTTTAAAGCATCAGACAGTGGGGTCAGTTTAGAAAGATTACTCCAGAAGTGAGAGGGGGGATTAGAGAGGGTTGAAGCTGCAGGCCAGGGGACAAACCAGTGGTCCTTTAAGGTTGGTTAGCTTCAAGAATAATCTGAAAAATGGTGAGACCCTAAATGAGTGTGCGGAGGAGGGTAAGGGAAAGGTTTAGCAGGGTAGATCTGAATACTGGAAGGAGAAGTCAGTAGCAGGAGAATGGAAAATGTCTTAGCTGTGCCCAGGTTTTTGGTTTGTGCAGCAGAAACCAAGGTGGTGAGAACCCTTCCCTACAATAAAGACTGCCGTGGGGATCATTATCGATTTACATATGCCTCTTTGCGGTGGCAGGTTGAGTTTGGAACATTTCAAGTGCCTATCGGGATCTGTAATTGTATATATCAATTTATATTTAGTTACCAGATACAACTTTAGAGAATTTCCTTTTTGAACACTAGGTCTTTTGTTGTTCATTTTAGGAGACTGTGACTCAGGGACTAAAGGAGGGCCAGTTAAGCAAACAGAAATGTTCCTGTGCATTTCAAAACCTTCTTCCTTTCTATAATCCTGTGGTGAGTACCAGGAAATTATACGGGGCTGCATCTCAAATTAAAATGATTTAAAGTGAGCACCTGGTCTTTTTAAGACATAGTCAAAAAAGATAGTGCACCTTCCATGACTTCATGCCCTGTTGGAAAGACAGCCGCTGGGTAGTTCCTCATATTGGCCTGAGAGCAATTTTTAGAGGAAGGAATCAACGTGGAATTTATCATATCCCTTTATTTTCCAAAGCAGACTAAATGTAAGATTCTTGGATATACTCATTACATTTATTAGGTTTTTATGGTTCTTCACATGATGTCACGTTACTGTTATTGGAGGCAACTTCAAAATAGGGACTGAGGGCCCGAGGGGCTGTGTTGGCGAGGAGGATGGTGACAGATATGTGGTCATGGGCCCTGAAGGGAGGCATCAGGAGAATAAGTGCTGGCTCCAGAGTAAATCATGGGGTTGGGGCAGTCACTTCTTTCACAGTGTTGCAGACCAGTGCCAAGAATACTCGTGTTGTTATCTGTGGTCAGCGTGACTGTCTGGGACTGTTTAGACACCATAGGCAGAGCATCTTTATTACCACCGATCTAGGTCTCAAACCACCTTTACTTTTCCTCTCTTCATCTGATTTTTTTGTTTGACTCAAAGGTGGAAGACTTCATTAAGATCCTGCATGAAGTGGATAAGGCTGTTGCTAGCGACCTGGAGGAAAGCTTCCCGAGTTTGAAGGTTCAAACTTAACAACTGAGTTGCAATTTCTTCTGTCCAAGAAATAAACTGCTCTTTTGGAAGTTGAAGTTGGTGTATAGGAAATATTAACTGAAACCTCCCCAGATGTATCTCGCTTTGCCATTTGAATCTGGAGTGTCACTTTTATCATCTCCCGCCCCCTTTTCCATCGGTCACGTGTCACTCATCTTTAGTTGCAAGCAAACATGCAGACTTGTCATTGAGATTTTTTTAGACTGTTTCAGGAGTTGGTGAACATTTTCTTGAGAACTCTTAATCTGGTTATTATAGGAGCTTTATTTTGGTTTTTGAGACAGTCTTGCTGTGTAGCCAGACTGACATAGGATTTGTGTAATCTAGGCTGGCTCAAAGGCCTGATCTTCCTGCCTCCTACCTCTCCCCCAGGTGAGATTCTTGTATTTGGGTCTGTTACAAGTACGTTCACCTGTGGTATCAGAAAATCCTGCTATAGTAGATATTTTTTACCTGCAGAACCTACTGTAGCACTTAATAGTAGTAAAAACACTCACTATAGTAGTTTGATCTGATAGCATTTATGTATTTTATGCAAGAAGTCCAGAGGGGGGCAGTCCAGACCTGAAGAGTGGCTCAGAGACCCTGTCCTCTCCCTTTTCCATGTGGTGTGCTCCGAGGAGCTTGATGTTCATGTTCATTGTTTTGTGGTTAAGGGGGCTGCCTTTTATTCATATTCAGAAAGGAAAAAGGTGAAGGGGCTTTTTCCTAGCAAGACTTAGCCTTTTTTGTTGGAAAAGGACAACCTTCTTTGGTTTTGTGTGTCACATGGCCATCTCTAGTTGTATTTAAAATCTACTATTATTATTTGTTTTCTTTTCTAGCCTTTGTAGGTGGGAAATGCGAGAAAGAAAGGAGGCATAAATGGCTTTTGGTTACCAATCCACGGTGTTGCCGCAACATGCAAATGGGTTTTAGCCATTCTGTGGGTGTAATCTGTATTGATTCCTTTCCAGGTTATTAGTAACAACTCAAAAGCAGTTGTTACAATTCATTTACCTTTGTTATATTGCAGGTGTTTTCTGTTTTGTACATGTGAAAGTAGAGATATTGACATTTTTATGAAAGAGTATTAGTGAAATTCTCTATTTTCAGCATGATTTTAGTGGTTGAATTTCAGAAAATGATTTGCTTGAGCAAATTAAGATGGAGAAGATTAGTAACTTTGGATTGCTTATAAATTGTATAAGCTACCCACAATTTCCCCTTTACAATGCTTTGTCCTTCTTTTTAATGCTTTCTAATGAAATTAATTAGATAACCAGATACACCTATGAAAGCATTTAGTTTACATTACTTCATAGACTAAAAGTGCATTTTTTGATAGATTTAAAGAAAATGTCAGTTGTGAATAACAAAGCCAGCTTTATAAACTCAACTAAATTATTTCACGAAATTTTTGGGTTTAAAAGGCAAATGCCGGGGGCTGGGGATTTAGCTCAGCGGCATAAGCGCCTGTCTTGCAATTAGGCAGTCGTGAGTTCGATCCCTGGTACCGATAAAAAAGGAAAAAGACAAAAAAAAAAAAAAAAAAAAAAAGGCAAATGCCTTAAATTTGAATTTCTTAGCGCCCAGCGTGAATTACATTTTTTGGAGTTTAGGAAGACCTGGTTTTTTTCCTTTCAGGACTGGGGTTTGAACCCTGGATCTTCACACATTGAGCTGCCCCACAGCCCTTTTTTTTTTGTCTTTTTCGTTTTTATCGGTACCAGGGATCGAACTCATGGCTGTATGCTTGCAAAGCAGGCGTTTATGCCGCTGAGCTAAATCCCCAGCCCCTACAGGATTTTTTTTTTTTTCCTTTGCTTTTTTGTTTCCCACAGCCCTTTTTATTCTTTACATGGAAAAAGGGTATGGCTAAATAACCTCAAGGGGCTGGAACTTGTGATCCTCTTGAGATCCTCTCTAGAGGTTGGGGTTGTAATTGTGCTGCATCACACCTAGCTTCTTTGCCTTTTTAAAAGGTATTTTATTCTGCTGCATGTGGTAGTACATTCCTGTAGTTCCAAAACTAAGGCAGGTGGATCACAAGTTTCAAGGTCAGTCTGGACAACTTAGCAAGATCCTGTCCCCAATGTGGATGCGGGTATAGCTCAGTGTTCCTTAGGCTCAATCCCCAGTACCCCCCCAAAAAAAGCATTTTGTCTCTTGCAGCAAGCAAGCTGGATATTGCTAAACTCTTGTTTTCTTGGCTAATCCATCCTTCTAGATTAAAAGAGCTTTTTTACCTGTCATTAATGTTCGCCATTGCCTTGTCTTTGAATTACTTGCCTTGATAACTTTCACATATAAATGGGAAAAAGTTTAAAAGCCACCTCTCAACATACATAATTTTTTTTTTTTTTATGAAGTACGAATAGAAACCAACCATAGGATTAGGAAACACCTTCTGTGTGGGGCTCAGTCAGTCTTTAGTGAACACTGTTTTCTGTTCTGCAGGCTGTAGTGATGGTGTTGAGCTAACCATGTTCAAATAGACTGAAGAGAAAGGGTAGTAGGTGTATGGGCTACCTTGCCATTTTAACTAGGTCTTTTGTTTCTTATGGTGCTGCATATCGAGCCCAGGACCTTGGACAGCCCAGTAGTTTTTTTTTTGCTCGTAATGTGAGATCTGATCCAAGAACTATGATTAAGAATAATGTATTCATATTAATGCCTTGGATTTGCTTCAGAATAATCTGGGGCAAAAGGAAGGAAGTGAGATAAAGGAGAAAATGAAAATCAGCCATGATTGGGATTTCCAGAGCTGGGTGTTGATCGCATGGGGGTCTGTTAATTCTGTTCCCTCTATTTTTGTATATTTGAAATTTCCTATTAAAGTTTTTAAAAAGCAATAAATCACACATGGTTTTAAACCTGAATTTAATTATTAATGATGCTTATTTCTGTCTCAGCGAAAGTCAAAACTATTGTAATAGGATGAAATATTATTGAATTCAACACAAATGAAATCAACATAAAAACACAATAGAGTGGGCTGGGTTTGGTGGTGCCATCCTAATCCCAGCACTTGGGAGACTGAGGCAGGAGGATCACTGTGAGTTCAAGATCCGCCTGAAATATAGAGTGAGAACATGTGTCAAAAACAAAAAAAGAACAAAAAACTAGATAGAAAAGGTTGTGCTCAGTGTATAACCAAGGATGTAAAAATTATCTTTATTTAATATATCAGCAGACCCAACAAGGAGGCTTTCCCCATGAGGAACGTGAGTGACTGCTAAACCAGATGGGAACTGCACCACATGTGTCTTAGCTCACATTGTTTGGGGCTGTTCCACTAACAAAAGCTTTTTGTGTCCTTTATGGGTATCAAACCCATCGAGTACTAACCATGTGTCCTCTCTCCTTTTTATTTTGAGACAGGGTCTCGTTGAACTTCTCAGATTGGCCTCAAACTTGTGATTCTTCCCCCTCAAGCTCCTAGTAGTTGAATTTACAGACAGGCACCATCATGCATGGCTAACAAAACTGCCCGTGATCTTTAGTGGTGTATTTTGTGAGTAGAGGAGTGGTAAAGAAGAGAAGCAGAATCATAGAATTTTGGAAATGGATTTTTACGACTCTGTCCGGTGCTTACTCATTGGATAGTTAGACCCACAAGGGCCTGGGCAAATGCCACGAGGGTCAGGCCAGACCTAAAGTAGCAACCAAAGGAAAGAAAGTGAGCTAGAAGCAGGGGACCATGTTGTAGGTGCTGCCAGCTTTCTGTTCTTACATGTTCACCAACCTGACCTACTCTGTATTTCTGTATAGAATGCAAAGTCTACATAAAATTTTATGGTGTGCCTTGGGTTAATTTGCATAAATAACCTTTGCTTAAATCCAATTTTGTAACTTTATCTTTTTTGTTGTTGCTATTTTTGAGATAGGGTCTGCTATATAGTTCAGGCTGACCCTGAACTACTGTAGAGCCCAGGCTGTCTTCGAACTCTTAGTGATCCTCCTGCCTCAGCCTCCCAAGTGTTGGGATTACAGGCATGGACCAGCATGTCTGGTCTTTGTTTTCTTATTTATTTATTTATTTTTGCAGTGTTGGGATTTGAACCAAAGACCTTACATATGCTAGACAAGCACTTTACCACTGAGCTACAGCCCCAGCCCCACTTATATCCAATGTTAAACAACCCAGGGAACATCTGAAATGTAAGAGCCAAGGAGCCTCTGTGGGTTTCTCGTTAGTTTCTTGGCCAAAGAATATTAGGCTGTTCCTTATTGCATAATTATATGCCTGGGTGCCTACCCTTTCTTTGCAGCTGTATTTCCCCAGGAAGTCCAGGCCTGCAAACTTCCATAATGTAGCAGCACCATGGAGTAACCATTCTCATTTTACACTAACTATTTTTTTTGGTACTGGGGATCGAACTCACCACCTCATGCTTACCAGCCAAGTACTTGAGCTAAACTTCTGGCCCTACACTGATCTTTTATACTTTAGGTCTCTAGCAAGGAACAAAGTTCTGGGAAAGGGCCATTACATAGTAAAGCCAGGTCTGAAGGGGAGAAGATCTGTATGTTGTACTCACTCACTTTGAATTAAGTATGTGCCCTAATAAAATCAACTGAAGTTGGAATTAAATTGAACATGGTAGAAAGGTACAGAAAGGTGTGATAGACATGAGACTGCATTGGAATGGCCACCATTTGTTCAGAGTTGGTTATGAGCAAGACATTCTACAAAGATCTTTACATAGGTTATCCTACAAGAATTCCAAAAGGTAATTGTTACCATTTTATGAATGGGAAATGAAGATTGAGCTAAATCAGGATTTGAAACTAAGTGTTTCTCTAAAGGTTGTCTTTTTAACTACTACACTAGCATCTGGTGGGCAGACCTGGACTAGATCATGAAGGTGTTTATGTCATGTGTAATAGACAACTAGGGTATCTGCTTATCTATGTCCTTGTCTCAGAGTTGTCCCTGAATGGCACTGTTTGGGCCAGGAAGGCACATTAATGTCTACCAGACACTGGGCATTATTCTAAGCACTAGACTGATAGCAGCGAAACACACAAAATCTGTGTACCCAAAATAACTGCAGTGGACAATGAGACAAAAATCTTGCCTGAATGGGGCTTGCATTCTGGGCTGCCATGGATAAGAGGAGGAGAGGAAGAAGCTATGGCCCGCACAGATGGTTAGAAGTCGTGCAGCTTGTGGCCGATTGGATCAGTATCCTCAGTTCACCTCTGTATGGTGTCTGTGTCCCAGCTATGGCTTCTTGGTGGATGGAGTGTATTTTCCTATGCCTTGACTTTAGGCTGTTGCCAAGGCAGCTTAGCAACAGGAATTACTGTGCTTATGCTGTTCAACTTCTTGGGTTCCCATCACTCACTGTGAGAAGAATAGGCCTGAGCAGCTGTTGATCCATGCAGGATGGGAAAAGAGCAAACTGAGCCCCATCTGCAGGCTGGGTCCAAAGGCTGATTGTTTTGAGTCACTGAGTTTAGGAGTGGCTTGTCGCCATTACTGAAGTAATCATTTTCTGAAACAGCCTGAAATAGAAGCTGCCTCAGTGCTCAGTTCCTTTCCAGCTTCATGCCTGTCTTCCATGGGTGCCAGCAATAATTCCACTTTAGGTGCCTAGAATTTATCATGTCCCTATAGTGACTTCCATGAGACATAATCATATGCGTCTCCATTCTTATGTGAAAATATTTATAATTGACACAATAATAGTATGTTTTTATGGGGATAACAGTGTGACTTAAATACTTGTGTACAATGTGCAGGTCTGAGTAATTGGTGTATGCATCACCCCACACATAGTTCATTTGTATTGGAAATACAGTATTCAGAATCATCTTAGTAAGCTATTTTGAAATACACAATTAAGTGTTGTCATCTGTAGTACCCTCGTGTGCTGTAGAACACTAGAAGTTATTCCTCATGTCCAGCTGTACCTCTCCCCATTAAGCCGCTCCTAAGTCCCCAGTCTCCCTGGCCTCTGGTTACTACTTTTCTACTCTCTAATGTGAAGTTTTTTTCCCCCAGTTCTACATGTGAGTGTGAATGTGAGATGTCTTTCTGCACCCAGCTTCACTTAATATAATGGCCTCCATTCCATTCTTAATTGAGATAGCAAATTAAATTACAGTCGTCAGACCAAGAAAATGCAAAAATGTGTGTGGGGAGGCAGGGAAGCCATTGCAGTCCAGAGGGGATGCAAGCTGTCTGTGACACGAAGCTATATGATTTCTTGCACATGTGCCGAAGCTACCTGCCTCAAGACCAAGGAGGATGACTTTGTGTAAAATACCTCAGAGAAACACTTGTCCTCAATGGCACGTTAATGATTTTTGACTGTAGGCATTGAAAAGCCATGAGTGTCCTGACCACATTCTGAAGCTGTCTAGAGGTGTGCAGGGGTTCAACAGTAGACTCAAGACTCATTGATTTGAGACAAGGGAGAGTGAGGAGGCAGTCGTGACTTCTTTCACTGTAACAGGGAGGTAACCTGAGCGAGGGGTGGGCCTGGTGGCTGGGTTAAAGATGTGTTCGATTTTGAATGTGTTGAGCTGCAGGTACATTTTGGACATTCAGTGGAGGATGTCCAAATGGACCTGGAACTCTGGTGAGAGATTTAGGGCTTTGGACAGAACCCCAGGGAGCACACATTTTATGGACTAACACCATCAATGAGAGAGCTCAGGGTTGTACAGGAATACACTGGAGTAAATTGGGAGAAGTTTTCAAAGTGATTGGATTTACAAGGAAACTGCTGACAAGTGGTACTCCAAAACATCCACCCCACCATTCTCCTCTTTAAAATTGAATGTTTTGTGTAGGTACTCAGTAAGAGCAGTTGTGTGATGGATGAGCATTAGACACTTAAATCAGCTTTCTTACAAAGATTCTATATTTCACACCCATTGCAGTGGGTTAACTAATGGTCACCTTGTAACACCCATCTGAATTGAGTCATCCAGGTGCTGGGTGTGGACGGCTCACCTGAGGATTATTGCCAACAGTATGAAAGCAGAACTGTTGATTCTCCTGGAGAAGCCTGTCACTAGTTTTCCTGATGTGAACTCAGCTGTTCTCATCATCAGAGGAGCTTGGGTCCTCATCATCCCTGAGGAGGACTGTGGTTCTTTTCAGGGGAGCTCTGGTTCTTACCTTGAGCATTGCTTCCTGGCTGCAGAGCAGATCCTCAGGCTGCTGACACAGATCCTTCAACCTGCTAGCATGGACTTTCTAGCTTCCATCACTAAGCTTTGGGCCTTCCCAGTACAGATCCTTGATTCAGACTTGCATGAGACATTGTCATGGGCTCTAGATCTCCAGCTGGACTCAAAGAGGACAGACAGTGCCCTGGGCTCCAGGTCTTGAGCTAGACTTGTGCAGTATATTGCTGTGGGATCCACGCCCTCAGCTGGATTCTTTGGGTCTCCATTGTGTGGACAGATCCCCTACACTCTTCTGCATTTGACTTTTTGGGTGAATATTATAAAATAATCCTATAAATTATGTATCCTATATTGACTTTCCCTTATAAACCCTGACTATAAAACCCATGTTCAAGCAGAATGGCATGGTGGAATATACACCTACAGGAAAACGGCACAACACATGATAGTATGATTTTAATTATATTAAAATGTATAGAATGTTATTGGTGGGGAAAAGGAACCTTTCTACCCTGTTAATGAGAATGTAAGTGCAGCCACTATGGAAATGAGAACAGTGGTTTCTCAAAAAACCAATAGAGGCCTCATTGGGTCAGCCGGACCATGCCTTAGTGTATACCCCAAAGGGATCAAAGTTGGTATACTACAGGGATACTCACATATCTATATTTATTGCAGTACATTTCACAGAAGTCAAGTTACAGAGCTAGCCAAGTTGCCCGCCATTGGATGAGTGGATAAGGAAATATTACCCGTAAAGAATGAAGTTTTGTCATTTGTAGGAAAATGGGTCTGGAGACCAAGCTGTTGAGTGAAATAAGCCTACTCAGACAAATATAATTTGTTCTCCTTAAGATGTAGAAGCTAAGAAGATAACATGAAAGCAGAAGAGAGCCTGTTATTAGACGAAAGGAAGGGAATAACAGGAAGGGAGCAGAGGGTATAAGGGGAAGTAATAGAATGAGTGTAATCAAGATGTAATCACGTGTTAAAACTCAGTATTTAAAAGCTAATGGGTACTAATAAAAAAAGGAAAATGCATTGCCTATCAAACATAGAACACCTGGAGTTGGGGGGAGGGGCTGGCCAAGGGTTCCTGTGACCTTGACTTGGCCTTTCTAGCATCCGCATGTGTAATAGAGGTAAGCACAGTCTGTCTTACAGGACCGTGCTAAATGGGAGTTTTAAAAGGCACTTTGGAAATTTAAAGAGTGGGTTTCACAGAATGAAGGAACTTCCAACCACTAATACTCTGTTCCACAGGAATCAGTTTCTGAAGGGACTCAGCAAGGCGATGTTTGATGTTACAATGAATCGACCAGGTTTCTTGAGTGAAAAGGCTCCACAACCTGAAAATTCTACAGTCACGTTTACCTTGCATAAAACTAAGTGGAAATGTGCCAGACTCCTTATTTCACAGCAAACCTGATTGATTTGTACCAGAACATCCAGCGCTGTTTGCTATTATGTGCTCCTGCCGCCTCTAAATACCTTTCCTTGTGAAATGATCTTAAATGAACTTTTAAACACCAGCTACCTGTGTTCCATTGCCAAGGCTACAGCATGTATTTGTGAAAACTTTTCTGCTTGCTGGGACAACCCGTGAATTATGTGCTAACCTTGTATCAATACCGGGCTTGTTGACTTGGAGGCTGCTTAGAAGCAGAAGCCTTACCTGACCATCTGCCAAGTGCTGCCTTTGGAAATGCTTCTCTGTTACTGTAATGAAATCACTAAAATCATTTCCTGTTCCCAGTCCTTGCTTAGATCTTCTATTTACTGTCAATAAGAGGATATTAAAACACCCAGGAAAGTCCACATATCCTTTTCATCCTGGCCCACGATGAGGCACACGGTTTTGTGTTTTAGTGATGGAAATAATAAATAATGACGTCAAGCCTATTGTAATAAAAGAAGGTTGTTTATTAAACTCCCTTTCTCCAGGTGTTTTTCCTTTGACATCATGGTATCTGTTTGTAATAGCTTTTATGGGTTTTCCCCCTTACTGCTTATGTGATTAAATGAGAAATTGAAATTTTGGGAGCAGTCCCTTCACAGACATGACAGGTTCCTTCTCAGGCACAACAGGCACAACAGTGGAGGAGTTTGATTTCTTCAATTATGGGTTTGTTTTAAAGGGTGATTGTTGATGGAGGGGTGAGTGGGGAGCGTCTGTGTAATCAGTCATAAATTCAAGTGAATGATATCCCATGGCTTCATTATGGCAACGTAGGATCAAATAATTTTAAGTGATGCCTTCTGGTTCCCTAGTATATGAGCAATTAGGCACTTCTGGATATTCACTCTGGTGGACTGTTTTTCGGTAGAATGGTCTCATTTGTAAATCCATGAGGTGCTTTCCTCAAAACGCAGCTGGCTTTGGACTTTTCCTTCCTGTGTATAACCAGGAACAAGTATTCAATTAACCACCCAGCGAGCCATAAAACTTTAATTTCTTTAACTTCCTCATCTCAGATATATCCATACTGTTATCAGTGGAAGAAATTTGTTGGTATTGTGTGAAGTCTCTAAATTAAATTCTCTAATTCTTTTTATATTTGTTTTAGGTTTGTACAAACCAGATACTTGTTTGTCCTAAATGATCTATAGAAATTAATTTTTATGATTGTAGTATTTAATATTCAAAGTAATTGAAAGACTTCTTGCTCCAAATGCAGCCCTCTTGCTCACATCAAATGATGTCCAAATGGTCTATGAGGATGCAGATTTCCTGTTTTCCCACAAGCCTGGAGTGATCTAAAATGGTAGTGCTGTAGATTTTTCTCCTTTGTTCTGTTTAAATATGTTTTAATGTGGGCTGGCTTTTTCTTTAAAGCTGTGGTGGAAGGCACAGCTCATGGAGTACTTGTGGATTATTTTGTCTTTGAGGAAGGGCTTTCTTCTACTTCTTAAGAGGTTGTACCCTGAGCATTCTGGCCCCAGGGAAAACGAGGAGGCTCATGCTGCAGAAGCCGTTCGGAGGAACGTGTCAACTGCTCCGTAACCATGAGCTGGCTCTCCTTTGATGGGTAGATTAATAGTTTGCATAATCATATCATCCTGTTTGTTCTGGCTCCAGAGTTGTCTCGGACTTGAAAGAAATGGAAGTTAATTGAAAAAGATATTTTTAAAAATCTTGCTGTCTTATTTTCTGAGTCTCTCATCTAAAGAAGCAATCAGAAAGAGAATAGGTTTGTTGCCAATGATAGCCAAGGTGTTTATTTCCTTATGCAATTCTGGATATGAAGAACCAGAAATCAGCAGTTAGCGGGTGGAGAAGAGGTAGGCGCAGGAAGAAGGGCACAGCTAGCTGTGCCTACATAACTCCAGCCTGGGCAGGAACCCTGAGCAGTGGTTCCAGCGTACACATGCGGGGTTGTCCTACAGTGCTGTGCACATCTTGTGCTAAGGTGTTTAGGGATAAATGTAAAGAACTGGGTTGGTCTAGGAATTGTTATCTGTATCTCTTGCTACCTTAGAGGCGCTTCCACAGGCTTGACACATACCAGATTTTGGAAGATACTTTGTTTGAAGGCTTTCTTTTCTAACTAAAGTTTGAGCTCAACTTTTTCTAGATACTGTCTGCATTCTAGTGCTGATTTCTGTAAAGTTGCTGTTGGAGAGTTTCAGTGGGCGGGGAATGGTTCTCATGGGAGAATTAAAATGTTAATAGTACGTAGAGTGTCTTAACAGTGTCCTGTTTTGGGTCAGAGATTAACTTCCAGTTGTGATCACTAAATACTTTGTTAAAGTTTTTTGAGCTATTAAGAAAGAAACTAAATTATACAGGAATATTTTCCATTCATTCAATCCACAGTCCATTGTGATTTGAGCTTCCATTTGTTGAGCATTGTGCTCACTGAGACTAAGAAGGTAATAATTCAGATAGGAGGGAAAGAAAGGAGCTAGGTAATAGCTGTTCTTCCATTTCTGAAAGTCAAGGCCTATGTCACTTGCCCTGAAGCAATGTACTTTCTTTCTTTCTGGTTATGTTGCTTGAAGATTTGGGGCTCCTTTAAATTTTGGGCTTACACAACTGTAAGATACAGGCAGGTACCTTCGTACAGTTAAATGAGGGCCCTGCAGTGCCCTTCCACCACTGCTCACCCCGCATGACAAAGACAGTAGACAAAGGCTTGTCTCCCTCCACTGTGGACTTTACAAAGTAATCACCTCTCCGGCTGTTCCCACTGGGCCTTCCCCATAGGCTCTGAGGTTGGCTTTCCCAAGCCTCCTGAAGCACCTGTGCCTATCAGTGATGAAGGAGCGAGAGGGGACATGACCACAAGCTCACCGTGGCAGGGCAGGAGGATGGCACGGCAGAGGCCGGAGGAATGGTGTGTGTGTAAAGGGCTCAAGGGAGCACTGTGGGTCTTCACCTAAGTTGAAAGAGACAGAATCCTGAATTTAGGGTAGCTGCAGGGCACAGCCTCAAATGGCTGAGCAATCAGCAACCGGCCAGCTCAGACGCCAGAGTTGGAGGGATCATAGCTACTCCTGCTTCATATGCTTGAGAGCACCTTAGGAGGAGCCCACGGAAGACACGACATTTTTCTTTGCTTTTTTTAAAGAAGAGGATAAAACCGAGGACAATAAAACAGTAAAGTCAATATAAATCAGGAAAAGTGATTCAAGACTTCCAAACCTTATGAAATCAACAAGAGTTACTACAATGCCTTTAGTGTCTTCAACATAGCTGCAGATGCCATCTTCAGACATACTAAAAATCAGATAGAGCAGGACAGAATAGAAACAATAAAAACAAAACAATAAATGCAAGAAAGGACATCAAAATAAGCCACTAGTAAATACATAATGGCTTCCATAACACAGACATGTTATCTTTTAAACAGCTGCTCATGCCATCAGAGTTAACATATGCAAAACAAAAGAAAATAAAAACACAACCCAACAAAGCAATGAAAATGATACAATTTTCGGGTGAGGACCTCCTTACATGGGGCCTGGTTCTCTTTTCCACAGTCTGTGAATGGTGCTGACTCACACAGAGAGGCTTGGGTCTGGCTCTCCCCTAGCCGCCAGCGGCCCATACATTGGTGCTGGTTTCCAGACTCTTTTTTTAAAATTAAGCACCAGATAGCTCTTTTTTAAAAAATTGTATTTAAGGAGAAAAAGAAAAAAAAAAGCAGAAAAAGGGTACAAGTGATACAGAATTTCAGAAAAAAAAAACCCAAACAGTAGGAAATCATTAGTTAATGGATAACATATTGTCATCTTAGAAATATTTGTTCAAATTACAAAATTAAAGCATATAAAGTGGACATTCAAACAGTGAGACTGCAAACAGTTCTGTTCAATAATCCAAAAAAACTCAGTAATATCTTTGTATATCTTATACACTTAAATATACATGCAGTTATATCGTTTAGAGCACTTTCTTTTCCTGTCTTTTGTACAATGACTATTACACTTTTTGGGTTTTATTACTCCCACAGTTCTTATTACTTTTTTGGAAGAAAGGAAAACCAAATGTGACATAACAGAGCAGAGTCAGTCAAATCAAAAGGGTGGACATAATAGATAATGTAAAAACATAATACAAGGTGATCAACCATGGTTACCATAATGCCTCCTGCTATCTCCAATAGAATTGCCTATATCATCAGTTATAATAAAATTGAACAAAACTGTAAAGAATGAAACCAACAGAACCAAAACATTGGAGACATTACAGGTCTTCAAAAGTAAATAATAGTCAACCAGAACGGGCGTCATAATGAATCCCACTATCTTCACAGCTGTCGTCTAAACTTTCAAACCTGGTACTATCAAGCAAAACAGAATAGAGGAACATCAGTCAAAACAAGATGGTGAGAGCAATACAGGGCTTCAAATCAAGTTAATAGAAAATCGAAGTGGGTTACTATAATATATCCTGCTATTTTTTATTCATTTTTCCCTTAACTAAAAGGATAAAAATAAAAAAGTAAATAATAAAATGGAGATTGAGATAAAAGAGGGCATAACAATAAAATAGCGCAGATCAAAACATAACCATTTAAGCAAAATAGTGTTTCACCATAAGATAATCCCGACATAAAAGTAGTTACTATATTGTCTCTTTCCTTGCAATCTTTGAGTATAACTTCGTGTACTGTAGCATCAAATATATCAAAACAATGTAAAACCATTCAAGAGAATGATAGTATTACAGGATATTTAGAATCAACTAACAGAAAATGAACAATGGTTTCTGTATAATCTCCTTGTCTATAAAAGTTTTTGTTTATACTATGATATATGATAAAACCCAGTAAGATACAACATGTTAAGACCCATGGAGACAGAAGAACAAAAGCTTGATGGGACCTCAAAACAAGATGATATTAAATCAGCATTACCTATTATGATGTCTTGTTATCTCCAAAATAGCTGTTCCTATCATCCAGTCTTCTCTGCCTCATTTCTGTTGAGCTCTTTTTCTGTCATTAGTTGTCAGTTTGTCTTCATTTTGTTTTCTGCTCCATTCATGTGGCCTCTCTGCCACTATTTCTGGATTCTTCGTATTTTTCTTTTTTAGAATATCCTGCAGTATTCTCTGTAGAGTCGAATTGGTGGTTGCATATTCCCCTAGTTCCTCTTTATCCTGGAAGCACCTAGTTTTTCCATCAATTTCCAGGGATAGTTGTGCAGGATATATCAATCTTGGCTGGAGGTTATTATCTTTCAAAGCTTGAATTATTTCCCCCCACGCTCTTCGTGATTTGATGGTTTGTGCTGAGAAGTCTGCTGTAATTCTGATGGGTGTTCCCTTGTAAGTGATCTATTTCTTGTCTCTGACGGCTTTTAATATTCTGTTCTTATATTGGATTTCTGGTATTTTGATTATTACATGCCTGGATGTAGCTCTGTTTGGGTTGTAGGTGGCTGGGGTCCTGTATGCCTCATACATCTGAGTATCTTTACCTT